TTTGTTTACAAGCAAATCAATGATGAAAAAAGAAACCACCATGGACATTTTCCTGAAAAGAGTGACACCTCAAGAAGATCCTCAGGCAGGTCCTTCAGGACGTATTCCAGAAGAAATCATCGTTATCATAGGAGATGACAGGTCCATGCATGTTATTACCACCGAATACCTTCCAGTAGGACAAGATGTGGAAGTTGAAGACAGTGATATTGATGATCCTGAGCCTATATAGGCCTAGGCTAATATATGTGCTTGTGTCTTAGCTTCTAACAAAAAAGTTTAAAAAGTAAAAAAAAATTAAAAATAGATAAAAGTTAATAGAATAAGGATATAAAGAAAAACATCTTGTTGTATAGCTGTACCTTGTGTTTGTTTTTTAAGCTAAGAGTTATTACAAAAGAATCAAAAAGTTAAAAAAGAAATTAAAAAGTCTACGAAGTAAAAAACTTACAGCAAAGTAAGGTTAACTTAGTATTGAAGAAAGAAAAATGTTTTTGTATAAAATCAATGAAGGCTTAGAGAATATAAGTGTATACCGTACACTTATACAGTGTTTATAAAGTCTACACTAGTTACAGTAATGTCCTAGGCCTTCACATTCATCAGCACTCACTCACTGACTCATCCAGAGCAACTTCCAGGCCTGCAAGCTCCATTCATGTAAGTGCCCTACACAGGTTTATCATTTTTTATCTTTTATGCCGTATTTTTACTGTACCATTTCTATATTTAGATAGGTTTAGGTACTCAAATATTTACCATTGTGTCACAATTGCCCCAAGGATTCAGTATGGTACCAGGTTGTACAGGTTTGAAGCCCAGGAGCAATAGACTGTACCATATAGCCTGTGTGTGTAGTAGAGTACACCATCTAGGTTTGTGTGAGTACACTCTATGATGTTCACACAACGAAGAAACTGCCTCGTTTCTCAGAATGTATCCCCGTCATTAAGCAATGCATGACTGTACAGTCATAGCGGTTATGCAAATCAATCCAAAATCTTTGGAGTATAACTTGACACCAATAAAAAACAGTAGCTTCAATATATCTACCTTCTAAGCAAGAAATTCTAATTCTAGGGATTTATTCCAGGAATAGAAATGTGTAATGACTTATAAATATCTAAGAAAATTTAGAGCATCATTCTTCATAATAAAAGAATGGAAACAATACCGAAATTGATCAATAGAGAGGAAAGCTAATAAAGGACACCTTATAATGTATTACTATGCAAAAAAAAGAAGTCGGGGGGCTGGCCCCGTGGCTTGGTGGTTAAGTGCGCGTGCTCTGCTACTGGCGGCATGGGTTCGGATCCTGGGGCGCACCGATGCACTGCTTCTCCGGCCATGCTGAGGCCGCGTCCCACATACGGCAATTAGAAGGATGTGCAACTATGACATATAACTATCTACTGGGGCTTTGAGGGGAAAAAAAGGAGGAGGATTGGCAATAGATGTTAGCTCAGAGCCGGTCTTCCTCAGCAAAAAGAGGAGGATTAGCATGGATGCTAGCTCAGGG